GATCGAACCTGCAACCCAGGTATGTGCCCTTGACCAGGAATGGAACCTGAGACCCTTTGGTGCACAAGGCCGATGCTCTGACCCTCTAACAACTGAGCAACACAGGCCAGGGCGAGGATTAGGAATTTTTAGGGTCACTCTGCTCCTTTTATATACAACATACAGTATGGACTTAATTATTAAACCAACTCTGACTTAAACAAACTGAGATTAGTATCCCTGCCTTTTATTTTTATTTTTTAATATATTTTTATTTTTTACAGAGAGGAAGGGAAAGGGATAGAGAGTTAGAAACATCGATGAGAGAGAAACATCGATCAGCTGCCTCCTGCACACCCCCTACTGGGGATGTGCCCGCAACCAAGGTACATGCCCTTGACCAGAATCGAACCTGGGACCCTTCAGTCTGCAGGCCGAAGCTCTATCCACTGAGCCAAACCGGTTAGGGCAGTATCCCTGCCTTTTAGAAAAGGAAAATGAAGTCTAGAGAAATTAGATGACTTATCCTAGATCATACACCTCTTCCTGGGGGGTGGAGGAGGGGAACAACACAGCATTCTGACTTAATCCACTGCTTTTAGCACTAGACCATGCTATTCCTCAAAAAGGCCCTATGTGGGGCATGCAGGTTAAAATGCTATCACATGCTATCCTGACCAAGAAGGATGACTGCAGTTAGTTCCTAAGATGCTTAAGATGCATTTCCCATCTATGTCAAATTCTTTGGTTACAGAAGATGGGAAGCTTTCCAACCACTATTTCATCCGCTATATTTTTACAGCTGAGACAGGACAGTGGGCTAATGTAAGAAGACACCAAGGATAAGGAAAGGTAAAAACAGAAACAATATTTGAATGTTATACTAATGTATATAACAGGCAAATAAACTTGTATTTTATTCAGTGCTCTAAAAGAGGTCTTTAATTGGGTTGCTCTGTTACTTTAAAGACTTAACTTTGATTTTTCATTTTAGAAAGTATCACTTATTTTTAAAAGCTATAAGGCTGACTTTTACCCTTAAAAAGTTAATGTAACTAATTCTTTGAAAGTGATTAGATCTCCCTGGTTTCCCTTAAAGAGGCATTTATGAATTGTTACATATAGACCACATCCTTTAACTGGATTTCCTTCTTGAACAAATTAAGGTCCCTTTCTGGGTCAAGGCTAATGGATCAAATTTTAGGGATTTGGGGCAGTCCGTCACACTGCAGGGGATAACCAGTGGTCAGCTTTGAACGTTTAGAGCCTTCCATTTCCCCCTATCTATCTAACTCACTTAACCTCAGCCCTGTAGATTCTGTCTCATCCAAATCCTGCTTTAGTCTGGGGCCCTGACTTTGCCCCGAGGACAAAGTATGAGCTGCATTGGCTGAGGATATTTGTTATTGGTGATGTTTGCCAAGCAGAGGGCCTTGAAAATTACTGGAGACTGGTGACCCTTGAACAACTCAGGGGTTAAGGGCACCAACCCCCCTGCACAGTTGAAAATCCAAATACAACGTTTGACTCACCAAAAACTTAAGTTGTCCCTTGGTATCTGCAAAGGATTGGCTCCAAGTCCCTCCCGCCAATACCAAAATCAGTGGATACTCAAGTCCCTTATCTAAAATGGCATAGATCAATGCATATAGTTGACCCTCTGCATCCAGATTTCCAATCGTGGATTGAAAATAGTTATGGTATTTATTTGCCCTGGCCTGTTTGTTTCAGAGGTTAGAGCGTCGACCCATAGACTGAAGGGTCTTGGGTTTGATTCTGGTCAAGGGCACATACCTCGGTTGCAGACTTGATCCCTGGCCCTGGTTGGGGCACATGCGGAAGGCAACCAATCCATGTGTCTCTCTCCCCACCCCACCTTCTACTCTCTGGAAAATCAATGGAAAAAAGACCCTGAGGTAAGGATGTTTAACAAAACAAACAGTTACAGGTATTTATTGAAAAAAATCCATGTAGTTCAAACCTGTTGTTCAAGGGTCATCTATATTTGTTCTTTACAGCTTGGCAATTGGTACCATCAGTGGCCACGCCCGGCACTGCCCAGATCTTTGTGTGATCTGGGTTGATGCCCACGCTGACATCAATACACCCCTCACCACTTCATCTGGATGTCTCCATGGACAGCCGGTTTCATTTCTCCTCCGAGAACTACAGGACAAGGTCAGTAGGCCAAGATGAAAAGAAAGTCGAATGGCTTGCAGGGGCTTTGAGGGTCCAGTTCAGTAAGATTTCTGTGAAGGATGGGTTGCCAGTGGTAGAAATGCTTACAACTCCTTCATTTGTTCATCAAACATTATTATGGGCCAGGCAGTCTGTTAGATGCTAGGAATATAAACATGACTAGGGATATAAAGATGGTCCCGCTCTTGGGGGGTTCATAATCATCTAAGAAAGGAAGGTGGTACTGGGTAACTCTAGTGATTGATACACCCACAGCTTGAGGACTTCTTGGTTACAGGCTCCCAGGCCTCACTATCAGATGCATTGGTATAGAATCCAAGTAAAACCATGATTACCTCTAGGTAATATTTTTCTAGGCTGTTCAAAAGACACTGGAGTCTAGGCATAGACTAAAATCTGTTTATCCCTCCCCTCAGTGAGGGGCCAAGTTAAACCAGGAATAACAACGGTTATTCATTAGGCAGAATTCATGTTTTGGCTGTTGGCAACTTGAGATGACAACTGGGTTATGTTCCAAGAACCAATCTGTAAATAATTCAGTAATATGAAAAGGGCTAATCAGCAGTATTCCTGCTATTTAGGTAAGTTAATGAGAAACCAAGACCACCTTAGGAGAAAAGATTTTTATTCTGCTTGAGAATGCTATACTGTGTTCTTCAGTTGCCTTTCTGAATCATTTCCACTTGTATCAATTTTCTTTCCCAGATCAAGTGTGTCTTGTGTTGCTTAAGCATATCTTGTAGATGGATGACAAAGCAAACTGCATATAATGGGAAGCACATGGTGATTATCTTGTCGAGACCAAAAATCCTTGATGAATCCTGTTCATTCCTCTCTACATAGGTGCCACAGCTCCCAGGATTTTCCTGGATCAAACCTTGTATCTCTTCCCCAAGTATTGTGTATATTGGTCTAAGAGATGTGGACCCTCCTGAACAGTAAGTTGAGATACAGGGTTATAAACTTTGGGCCCATCCTGGCCATTTACGTTCCATTTGATATGTTGTTCCTTGCCTTAACTTGTTGTAGACCACCGTCCAGACAAAACCCCATCTAAATGTGCATTTAACTTGCTATTTAAACTAACTATTCCTTCCTTTATATCTCATTACAGTTTTATTTTAAAGAATTATGATATCCAGTATTTTTCCATGAGAGACATAGATAGACTTGGTATCCAGAAGGTCATGGAACAGACATTCAATCTACTGATTGGCAAGTAAGTAACTACAACAGATGTCTACTCTAGGTTCCCAGGGTAATACAGCAGCTCCCAGGGGGCAGCATACTTTAGCTTTTCTCTTGAGGATAGTAGCTTTTCTTTCAAATAAAAGCAAAACATGTACGTTTAAAAATTTCAAATAATTTAGAAAGGGAGAATATGAAACATAGGTCATATTCTTCCTCTGGGGTTGCGAGGGGGTTTCCTTGAAATCATTGCCCAGATTCTCTCTCTCATGAATTTATCTTTAGCTCCATTTAAATGCTTATCTTTTGAGATGAGAAGCATTCATTGTTCTAATTATCCCATTCTTCTTAGCCTTGCTATTTCTTCATCTGAAAGTTTTTGTTTTGTTTTAATCCTCATCTGAGGATATGCTCTTTCAATTTATTTGAGAGAGAGGAAGGGGGGAGGGAAAGGAAGAGAGAGAAACAGAAACATTGATGTGAGAAACGTTGATAAGTTGCCTCCTGTACATACCCCAACTGGTGATCAAACCCAAAACCTGGGTATGTACCCTGACCGGGAATCAAACCTGTGACCTTTCAGTGTACAGGATGATGCTCCAACCAAGCCACACTGGCCAGGGCCAACTGAAAGAAGTTTTATAATAAGCAAAACTTGGTAGTGAATAAAGATGGCAGGTGAATGCTAACCCAAATGCTAGTTTTAAGAGCATTTTCTCAGTGCTGAGTCTTTATAACTGCCATCTACTAAGAAATTTAGTTGTTTAGCATATAGGTATTATATGTTAGTTTCAGTCATTGGACACCTGGGATAAATTAAAGTTAGAATTGGGAGATGATAAGATTGCAGATCTAGCCCTGGCCATTGTGGCTCAGTTGGTTGAGCATTGTCCCATGTGCCAAGAGGTCACCAATTCAACTCCCAGTCAGGACACATGCCCAGGTTGTGGGCTTGATCCCCAGTAGGGGGAGCGCAGGAGGCAGCTGATTGATGTTTCTCTTTCTCTCCCTTCCCCTATCCTTCCTCTCTCTAAAATTAATAAAAACATATTTTTAAAAAAGATTTCAAATCTAAAGTCAGAGTTAAGTTCAGCTGCTGTTACACTCTGAGAGAATAAAAGCAAATGTAATACAAATGAAATTAGAATCTATCAGGGCCCAAGGTCATATGAAAGTGAAGAATTCCCTCTACTGACAATTGTTAATGTAAGAGGCTTTAATTTAATGCTCAGGGTAAGTCAGAAATATAAACTGGATTTAGTCTGAGGCACACAGAACATGGAAAAATTATGAAATGGAGTATAAACACTAATAGGCAAATAGTAACTTTTAAAATAGAAAACCTGGAAATCTGATGCATTAACAAAATACCAGGACTAACGGCAACAAAATCAGGAAGTTGCATCTGCAGGGAGCATGAATGTTCAGGCACAAATGACTATTCTCTTATCCTTCTCCTTTCAAGAAGACAAAGGCCAATCCATCTGAGCTTTGATATTGATGCATTTGACCCTACACTGGCTCCAGCCACAGGAACTCCTGTTGTAGGGGGCCTGACCTATCGAGAAGGCATGTATATTACTGAGGAAATACACAACACAGGTAAGTAGTGATTAACCTGTTCACTACATAGGTAATTATGGTGAAGCCTCTTGTCTGCCAGGGGAATCTTTTCTATTATTCATGTCATTGTAGACATTGTTTTTGCCTAACCTGGTTATTGCTAAAAGTCATGTGGTCAGGCTATCAAGGGATAGTCATTTAGAGGCATGTTTGCATCTGGCTCATACCAAAATATGGTAATACTGAATAAAAAGTTGTCTTCTTAAACGTTTATTAGACACAAGAATAACCTGCCAAACTAATGCAGTTCTTTGCATCTGAACTGTCCAAAGGCAGATTAAGATTAAAACTCAACACCAGCTACAATTTTTACCTTAAATTAAGAAGTTGGTTCGCCTGGAGTTGGGAATGTGGAGTTAAAGCTTCTCTTGGAGATATTTCAAAGCTACATGTAGGGCAAGTCTTATACTGGAGCTTATTTAATAGGAGCTTTAATACAGGAATAGTGGAAAATGAATGGCTGACAGAAAGATTAATAAAATGAATGCTAGGTTATCAAGAGTGGCTACCAAGGAGTTGCTGTCCCTAAACTCATATTTGTTTACAAACAGTTTCTTTCTTTGAAAAATAAAATTTTTTTGTTTTGTTAATCCTCACCTGAGAATATTTTTTTCCATTGCTTTTCAGAGTAGAAGGGAGGGAGGGAGAGGAAGAGAGAAAGAGAAACATCGATGTGAGAGAGACACATCGATTAGTTGCCTCCTATGTGCATCCCAAAGGGGGGTTGAGGGAATCAAACCTGCAACCCAGGTACATGCCCTTGACTAGGAATTGAACCCGAGACCCTTTGGTGCGCAGGCTGATGCCCTAACCCTGACTGAGCAACGTCAGTCAGGGTAGCTGTTTCCATTTGTCTGAAAGCTTCTTAGTTTTGAGGCTACTTTAAATGACCTTTAATTGCAAAATTTAAACTTCCGCAGGATACTTCAATATCATCTTATGAAATTAGGGTCTAAACAGCATAAAGACCCCAGACTGAAAGGTCCAGCCAGGGCTATAGGAAACCCTTGACCAGCTGGGATAGATGTGGGAATTGAGAAATGGTCTCCCTGGCTCTGGAGCCAACTAGACTCTTAGGCACTACAGAAAGGAAAATAATGCTTATCTATCAGATCTGACAGAAGCAAGGTAGTCTCATTCTCAGGCCCACAATCTTAGACGTTAATCGTCCTTGGGTTGGTGGCAAGTGAACCTGGGAGTTCAATCCTCCATTTTGGTTCCCAGTGACACCACCAGAGCCAGGGCTTAGTAACAGCTAGTACTTAGAAGGGGCAGTGGTCATACCTTGACCCTCTCTCTCCTGTTGCAATGTTACTCTATTCTAAACGACTGTCTATCATGACACTGTCAATTAGACACATAAAATAGTTTGCTTAAATAATTTACAGGGTGGCAATAATATAAAACCATGGGTAATATATATTTTTTTAAGAGCTCAAACCCTCTTGATTACTTCTGGGCTCTGCTGAAGGTCCAGCTTTAGTCGGTGGAATTCAGACACACAAATTATCAGAGATGCAGATGCATGTGCAGGAATTGGTAGAAGTGGTACCGAAGTTTTGCACAGTGCACTGAACTATTATGCATTATTAACAAGGGACGGCACACTGAACAGATGTCCTGGCAATGAGCATATCATCCTATATAATAAAAGTCTAATATGCTAAGTGTCCAGTTGTCTGGTCAGCCGTTCAACCAACCAACATGTAATATGTTAATGATATGCTAAGGCCGCTCAACTGCTTGCTATGATGTGCACTGACTATGAGGGGGCAGACGCTCTGACTGGCAGATCAGCTTGCTGCTGGAGTCTGGCTGATCCAGACTGAGCGAGAAAGGGCCGAACATGCCCTGGAGCCCTCCCGCTGTCCCTCCCTGGCTGGCCAACCTCCCACATCCCTCCCTGGCCTCAATTGTGCACCGGTGGGGTCCCTCAGCCTGGCCTGTGCTCTCTCGCAATCTGGGACCCCTTGGGGGATGTCAGAGAGCCGGTTTTGGCCCAATCCCGCAGGCCAGGCTGAGGGACGCCACTGGTACATGAATTCGTGCACCTGGCCTCTAGTGTACTATAATGTAATACCAATAAACCATTAGCAATATTCACTCATGTTTCCAGGCTTTATGGCCACTCTAAATATTCTCAGATACTTATATTCTCGAATACTAGTTTGTTCAGATAAATCTTGAAAAGGTAGATTAACTTCACTCAGAATACCCAACTAAAAAGTTAACTACCCCAGAGAAGTGGGGGTGAGGGAGTTGGGGGGGAAATAAATGTGGAATCTGCCCTCAGAGCTCAGACCTGCAGAAGCGAGAGTAAGATCTGCAGTAGTAACTATACTTCAGGGCACATGGTGCCTTAAGTATGTGGATACAGCATCAGAGTCAAAAGTGGGAATAGAATTTTGGCTACATGCAGGCAGGCATCTGGAAAGTTCCTTAATATTGGAAATGGCACATATTTTCTCAACAAGTAGGTTGGGAACTCCTTGACCCACAGCCCACCAAGCTCTTTCTTTATTCTCTTCACAAAGCCTGACATCTATGCCTTGTATGTCAGTTAAAGAGGGATGATTGCTTTTATTACCTTAAAGGTTTCTTTCAATTCTACTCTAATACAGCAGTGGTTGGGTGCTATGTTGTTTTGTGTGTTTTTTTGTTAATCCTCACTAGAGGATATTTTCCCCCCATTGATTTTAGAGAGAATGGGAAGGCAGAAGGGGGAGAGAGAAACTTGATGTGAGAGAGTCACATCAATTGGTTGCCTCCCCCACCAGCCAGGGTAGGGAACCTGCAATCCAGATAGATGCCCTTGATCAGAACTGAACCTGTGACACTTTGGTTCACAGGCCGATGCTCTAACCACCAAGCACGCTGGTCAGGGCTGGTGTTGTGTGTGTGTGTGTGTGTGTGTGCACGCGTTCGTGTGTTTTTATTGATTTGAGAAAGGAAGAGACCGATCAGCTGCCTCCTGCATGCCCCCTATTGGGGATTGAGCCTGCAATGTGGGCATGTGCCCTGATGGGGAATTGAACTGGTGAACTCTTGGTGCATGGGACAATGCCCAACCACACTGGCCAGGGCAATATAACAGTGTTTTAATAAATTCAGGCCCAAGAGAATGAGGTATAAGGGGCTTCCTGACAGTGGATGTTATAGTAGAAAATGGTTGGTTTTTACCTTGGTTTATTCTGTCCAGGTGGTACGACCCTCACTGAAAGCAGCAGCTAAGGGATTTTCTGAGGTTTTGTCACACTTTGTTCTTTTAGGGTTGCTGTCAGCACTGGATCTCGTTGAAGTTAATCCTCAGTTGGCTGCTTCAGACGAAGAAGCCAAGGCTACAGCTGGCCTGGCAGTGGATGTGATTGCTTCAAGTTTTGGTCAGACAAGGGAAGGAGGGCACAATGTCTATGACCAACTTCCTACTCCCAGTTCACCACATGAATCAGAAAATGAAGAACGTGTGAGAATTTAGGAAATACTGTATGCTGACACGTTTGTCACAATGGGCATTCCAGAGTTGTGAAGTTTTTGAGGGGGCAGATACTACATGGTCATTTGGGTCAATACTGCCTTAATGAGAACATTTGCGTATTCTCACAATTGTAAAATTTCCTTTCCCTCTCCATTTTGGTGACCAATGATACTACTGTAAATGTATTTGTGGGTTTTTTGGGTTTTTTTTGCAATTCACAGGGTATTAATATGTTAGAGTACCATGTAAATTTAAAGAAGTCATAAACAGCATTTATTACCTTGTTATATCACAGTGGTCTTGTTGCTGTTTCTTCACATTAACTGGTTTTCCATCTTCCCTCCCTCTTCCCACAGTCTGGCTACACAGTGCATCCTTGAACCGTTAGCTCACAGCAGCAATACACTTATTCCACATCTGTAACACTATTCATTCTCAGGGTCAAAGTTCTGGTCCACAAACCCTTCCGTGCAGGAAGTTCAATGCTTGCGAAAGAATTTGTAATAAACCAGGCCTCCCAGGATGGCTAACTCCAGTAAGATGATAATGGAAAGTAGCAGCTTGTTGGTTGTCACTCTACAAACACAAACAAGTGAGCAGTCAGAAGTCTGGATAACCTTATTTCTTTCCATTCTTTTTTTTTTTTTTTTAATATATTTTTTATTTCAGAGAGGAAGGGATAGGGAGAGAGAAATAGAAACATCAATGACAAGAGAGAATCATTTATCAGCTGCCTCCTGCCCCACACTGGGGATCTAAGCCCACAACCCAGGCATGTGCTCTGACCGGGAATCGAACCGTGACCTCCTGGTTCATAGATCAGTTCTCAACCACTGAGCCATGCCAGCTGGGCTCTTTCCATTCTCAATACATTAAGGTTTGACTTGGGACCAAGGCTAGACACTGTGAGGTAGACTGAATTTTTGTTTGATCTCATAGCCACTTAGCAATAAGTATACACAAGCATACCACAAAAATATTGCGGGTTTGGTTCCAGACCACTGCAATAAAGCGAATACAGTAACAAAGCAAGTCACATAAATTTTTTTTGTTTCCCGATGCATATAAGTTATGTTTACACTAGACTATAGGCTATTAAGTGTGCAATAGCATTATGTCTAAAAAAAAAACACAATACATGCATACCTTAATTTAAAAATGAGCTTATTGGAAAATGGCACTGATAAATTGCTTGACACAAACCTTCAATTTGTAAAAAAAACAAAAACGCAGTATCTGCAAAGCGCAATAACTCAAGGTATGCCAGTATAAGGTTCTTTAGCTGGTTAAGTGACAACTCAAAAGCTTCTTTAGCTATCACAGAGAAAAAACACTATCTACCTCCCAGAAATGTTGAAAACTGGGACAATATATATCAAAGGTATAAATGGTTTTTTATTCTAAAATGTCTTCAAATAGTAGTTACTTCCTCACTTTATTTTTTTAAAACCTCACCTGAGGACATGCTTTTATTGACTTGAGAGAGGAAGGGGGAGAGAGAAACATCAATGTGAGAGGTTGCCTCCCATAACGCAACCCAACCAGGGATCAAACCATGCAACCTTTTGGTGTACAGGATGATGCTCCAACCAACCGAGCCACTCGACCAGGGCTGCTACTTCACTTTAGAACTAGCTTTTCTAGGAGGGTCTAGTTAGGAAAATAGTATTAAATATAATATGAAAAAAATACCTATTCTGAAATCCGGTTGAATCATATTACAAAATTAGCAGTAACATAGTATCATCTAATCATATAGAGCCGTATCAGTTACATACTACAGTTGTGAGCATATGTTAGAGAAGTATTTGTGGCAGACTCGCCAGGGCTGACGTGCAGCTCGGGGACAGGTGCTAAGTAACCAGAAGCTGGGTAGTACCTCTCTTACTTTCTCTTTCCCCCAGGATTTCTCTACAAAGGCAATATAGGAGCTTCAAAGAAAAATCTACTGTCTTTTGTTAATACAAAGAATCCAATCTCTGGTTCTCATGTTCACTCTAAACTGAAGGTTTCCCCCTATTCCATAAGGAATTTACAACTGTTTAGGAAAACCTCACTCTCCTGATAATTCCATGACTCAGTTGTGATTTTGATCCATGCATACTACCACTTACCCCAAATTCATTTTGTTGTCAGCACTTACATCAAGGATTTTTAAAAAAACAACTTTTTGCTAACAAGACAGAATTCCCAGGTAAGGGACTAACTGACGAAGAGCAAGCAGAGCCAAAAGCATGTATTAAGCAGTAGCAGTGAAAATAGTTTTTTAATCAAGTTTTTACGAATATGAAGCTGTATTACTCCCATGTGCTGTTTTCTCTAAGGAATGTAAGCTGGGAATAAAAGTACTTTTAGTGGCCCAGCCAGTGTGGCTCAGTGGTTGAGTGTCAACCTATGAACCAGGAGGTCACAGTTTGATGCCTGGTTGCCGGCTACAGGGCATGCAGGAGGCAGCGGATCAATGACTCTCATCATTTATGTTTCTCTCTCCTTTTCATATATATATATGCTTTCAGTGGACAAATTTTACACGGTTCCAAATCAGAGCAGCATATACTTTTAACAAAAGACTTTGTCTTGGGATATTTAACTACACAAGACAATATACTTTATTTCTTCAGCTTTATTAGAACCTTTGCAAGTCACAGTTTAAAGCTTTTACACTCTTGGTTGAAAGGCATGAGAGTTAAGAGAAATTAATTTTGTGACTATTTCTAAAACTTACTTTCTGGACATTGACCGAAGAATCTTTCGACTTTTGCTCAAGTTTTCATTTGTGTTTACCAGCTGAGAAGAGAAAATAGTAATTATTTTCCCCTTCTTTCAAAAGTATACACTCTAGAATTTGAACATTCCTAAACTGACAGTGGGCATTAAGAAGGATATGTTGAAATCAAACAATTTAAAAGATGGCCTCTGAGTATAATTAGAAGAAACTGGAGAGGACAAGATACTTTAGTACTTGTCAAGTAGGTTTAGGAATTATATCCCAAGGCTGTGTGAGGGACTTCTGGGACAAGAGCTCATGCCTGGCTACTCAAAACAGAAAGGCTTCAAGTGTACACCTTGCCAGTAACTGAAGCAATTTAAGATTTGAATTTCACCAGTCTAACTCCAGGAGAGCCTCTTGAGTTACAGTTTGTTTTCATAGGCTGGTGGATTACCATTCTTGGGGTATGGTTATTTTTTCTTTATCCCTTTAAGAGATACTTACATTGAATTGTGAAAGGAATTAAGCCTTTTTTAAAAAACAAAACAAAACAAAAACAAACCCTTTCCCTCTTGCTTGCCTGGTACTAATCTAACAGCTGGAGGATATTTCAACAGATGCCACCTGCCATCTGTCTCCAATCCCCAGTGGCCTTGGTAAGTTGATCTCTCGGGCCATTCCTTGGCTTTTGAATTCAGCCAATTCACCTGGTATGTACAAAAGTAAAAAATCAAAACAGTCTGTAAGCAAGCTACCTTTTCTAGAGTTTACCTTAAATTTAGTACTTTACTGTGAATTTTCACAGAGGGAAGGGCATCATTCTGACTCATTTTAAGAATGGAGAATTGCAGCTATTAAGATATATGAGAAAATTATCTCAAACCCCCACATTGAACCATATTTTCCCATTTAAGTCTTGCCCACAGTATCTGTTTTTTAGTCTGGATTTGCCTCATGCTATTAAGGACACAGCATTCCATTGGCAAGTCGTACTATTTTCAAAATTTCCATGCAGATGTATGGAAAGGAACGTTAGTTTTCAGAGCCTTTCAGAGTGATAGATTAGAGGCCCCAATACAGCCATCATTGGCCTATTTCCATTTGCTTCCCACAAGTATCCAGCTTACCTCAGGTAACAGTACAGACTTACAGTCCAGGATTGAACCTCTATAAATTGTCAGTGGTACTATTTTATGACATGTGGAAAATAGCCTTGGTTCTAAATGACAGGAAAGCTAGGATCTTGTCAGATGATACTTTCATAAGAATAGCAGAATATCCCACTAGATGTAAGAGAAATCAAAACCTCAGAGTGGTAATACAGGAATAAAAGGATGGAGTGGCTGCAATCTTATGTTTATTTGACAATCTTCAATAAATGCAGAAATCCAAGTTTCTTCAGTCTTTCTTTTTTCCCCTCCAATGATCTCTAAATCTTAGAGTTAAAATTACTTCCAAGGGAGATCTCTCAGCCATGCAAACTAGAAACTGAGAAAAGCATAAGGCCCTAAAAGGCCATTTACTCTGAATTCAGAATTGCTGAAGCTCTGGGGAGGAGCATGCCATCAGGGTTTAATGGGCCCACCTACTTTACCCACTCTTGCCCCTTTCCTCATTCGCCCACACTTACTCTATTTTTGGTACGTTCCAACTGGTCACGTTGCTCCCCCAGCTCTTCTATAATTTCCGAGCCAATCTGGTCAGTTTCTGTGGCAATCCGATGAGAACGCTCAATACTCTGGGTGGCCCGGTTCAGGCTGTCAGTGCCTTGCAAAAGCAATACCCTCTGAGACTGTAGCTGATTCTGACAGGATTATGAAAGAGAAATGTTAAAGTTCTTCCACTATAAAGTAATTGCCAACACAATCCTTATGACCACTCTTATGTAAGAAGGGATATAGTGTGCAATAATTTTCATTATTTTTTAAAATAAATTTTTATTGATTTTAGAGAGAGAGGAAGGGAGAGAAACACCGATGAGAGAAAAACAGCAATTGGCTCTCTCCTGCATGCCCCCTACTGGGGCTAGAGCTGAAACCTGGGCATGTGCCCTGACCAGGAATCGAACCAGTGACTTCTTGGTGTAGAGGACACTCAACCAACTGAGTCACATTGGCCAGGACTAATTTTCATTACTATTATTTTTTAAATATATTTTTATTGTTTGGCTGCCTCCATGCCACCTACTGGGGATTGAGCCCAAAACCCGGGCATGTGCCCTGACTAGGAATCAAACAGTGACTTCCTGGTTCATAGGTTGACACTCAACCCGTGAGCCACGCTGGCTAGGCTAATTTTCTTTAAGACATACAAGGATGGTAATGAACTCTAAGATCCTATTCAAGGTCAGACTAAAGCAGAACTTGGAATCCAATCAGGATCACAATACCTCTCACTGCACTGCTTGTTACACTTAAGTGAGGCAAGGTAAGGAGGATTAAAAACATCAGAGCATTTTCCCTTGTTTGTAATGAATCTGAACTGGTTCATGTGCTTCCTGAACTAGCAACTTCTGAGAAGCAGTGGCCCAGATTTGGGGTGCAGGAGCTACCTGAAAATGATAGCTTATAACTGATGGGCAGCAAACAAGCCAACTAAACTCTACAGCCCTAGAACACATTAATTCACTGAAGATTCCTACCTGATTGATACTGAGGATTAAGGGACCGTGCATAAGCTAATCATTTTCAGTACGTATAGAAATCAATTAGTAGTCTGGGTGGGACACTGCCACATTCTGGAAGAAAAAACTTAAGTGGCCACACTCTTGGTAAGCCCCCAAAGAATTTCACTTCAAGACAAACAGAAAACAAAAACTCTGAAAAAACTTAAGTGGCCACACTGTTGATTTGCTCTCAGGGAAGAAGGTATTTAGGGCCGAGTAAGATGGCCTAGCTGCCCTAATTTCCCAAGTGCCCTAATTTTCTAAATCCCCACCAAAGTTTTACTCCACCTATAATCCTAAGCACAGAAGACATGAGGAAAGAAGTAGCCTCAGAATTAACCACTGACAGAAATGGGTGTAGCTCTAGTTCTTAGCTATGGCCAGGTAGCTCAGTTGGTTAGAGCATCGTCCCAATACGCCAAGGTTTTGGGTTTAATCCTGGTCAGGGCACATACAGGGTCAACCAATGAATGCATAAATACGTGGAACAATGGATAGATCTCTCTCTCTAGAAACTATAAATACAATATTCAATTACTAAACATATTAAAATTAAAATTATTTTAAAATAATTAAACATATTTTTAAAAGCATACATGTACACACACACACACACATTAAAAAAGGGGCCAGTTCACAGGGCCTATTACTGAGCACTAGACACCACCATCAAGAAGTCAAAAATGGGCCCTGGTTGGTGTGGCTCCATTGGAGCATCGTCCCGTAAACCAAAAGGTCATGGGTTCAATTCCCAGTCAGGGCACATACCTAGCTTGCAGACTCAATCCACAGGAGGCAATCAGTTGATGTTTCTCTCGCACATCGATGTCCTTCCTCCCACCCTCTCTAATCTATAAACATTAAAAAAAAAAGGGGCAGCCAAAAACAGGTTCCCAGATCAGAAGTAACAAGTATTCCTCATACATGTTATATGGACCAGTGGATGAGGAAACTACTGAATGAGGTTGAACTAAACCCCACCTACTTTAGCTTAAACGAAGCAGGAATAAAGCTTTTTAAAAATAAAAGATGGGGGTTTTCAACTGATTAGGTTGAGAAAGAACAGGAAAAGATAGTAAGATTACATAAATCAATCTCAGATTTGGAATAATAATTCTACTGAAAGTGGTATATGTCTAAATTGTGTTTCTAATTTCTGAAACTCATCATTTTAAAGCAAAATTACTCTTTAGACTGATCTCCCCCTTTTTTGTTTTGGGTGTGTGTGTGTGTGTGTGTGTGTGTGTAATAAAAGACCAAAGTCACTTTCACCTCTCATCTCTAACACAGTGGTTCTCAACCTTGGCTGCACATTAGAATCACCTGGGAATCTTTTTAAAATCCTGATTTCTGGGCCCCATCTTCCGAGGATTTTAAAAAGATTCCCAGGTGATTCTAATGTGCAGCCAAGGTTGAGAACCACTGCTCTAACAAGCTCCACCTGCCTTGCCTGGCTTTTCCCAGTCCCTCCCTTCACAAGTGAACTTTGAAATTTTACACCATTCTCAAATACTCTAGTTTTGACATCAGCAATGTCAGGCTAGCAGCATCTGAACGTCTCTTCAACTATAATAAGGATGCATCATGAAGTGGGATTTGTTTAAAATGGCATTATCAGCTTTTCTACATATGTGCAATCTGCACTTCCATTTCTTTCCTATGCTACTTGCCAGGCCATTTCAACTTTGCACTATGGAATACAACCCCAAAAGCAACCCATTAAGTTTAAGCTTTGTGAAGTTTTATTCCTTTAACTCTCTAGCTTCTCTAGAGTTTCAGAATATAGATTTTTCTATCCAGTCAGTCTAACTTTATAAATCAGAATACTGAGGCAAGAGGCAATCTGGCTCACTTTCTATTGCAAGAGAGCAAGGTATTAATTAGCCCCTTCTTAAGCATCCTGCCTTCTCTACTGTATCTGGGCTACTGGGTCATCATATAAATGTAAAAGAAAGCTTGTGTTAATTTTGTAACAATACTCTGATAAATTAAAAATCTAACTGAATTTTTGGCATATGTGAGAAAGAAACTGGATCAATGGGTCAGAATACAGAGTTCAGATATAATAAGATTAGATAACACTTGCATAGCACCACTACATACCAAGCACTGTTTTACATATAAAGGATACAAAGAAAAGTAAATAAGTATGTGGTTTGGAAAGATATGCATTAAATACAGTAGGGTAAATACCCAAGAAAAGGGGAGCTGGATGCAGGAAAGAGGACGGTGGGGGAACAAGTGTTGTGTAGTATACACTGTAACATGAACTGCACTCCACAATATGGTTAATTCTTGTACACAGGCCCAAAGGGGGAAAAAACAGCTGAAGCTTACCAAATGCTCATTCTCTACAGTGTATGTGCCATATTTCATGTCTCCTCGACCCCCGGGTGTGGCTGTCAAAGGCGTGCTTCTTACTTCCCTGTGGAGTTTGGCAAGGTCCTTCCGGTAGTTTCGAAGCTTAGACATCATAGGGTTACGAAAAGACAGGGGTGCATAACGTAGTTCCTCTTCCATCTCTGCCAGCTAGGAAGGCAGAAAATAGTGAGTGGACAGCCTGGTTCTTTTCTGTTTCATCTTGACATTTCCTAGTTTGGGCTAATCCAACTCCAGACAACCCAAAATAATCACTCAATGATATGCTCCACAGGGGCAGGGACCACATGACACACTCACTCCGCTGCTCTGATGTCTGCCCAGTGCCTATCAAGCACAGAACAGGTATTCAAAAAGTATGTGATGAATGAGTGAAAAAATGAACAAGTACCTTATAGCTTATTAAACATTTTTATATGCATTCATTTAATCCTCATAGCAAATCAACAAGGCAGGAAATATTATTTCTATTTCATATATAAGACTTGAAAAAACTGCCCTGGCCAATTTGCTCTGTGGTTAGAGTGTCAGCCTGCAGACTGAAGGGTCGAGAGTTCGATTCCCAGTCAAGGGCGTCCACGTACCTCGGTTGCATGTTCAATCCCCTGCCCTGGTTGGGGCACATGCAGGAGGCAACCAATCAATGTCTCTCTCATGTTGATGTCTTTCTTTCTCCCCCTCCACCCTCCCTTCCATGCTCTCTAAAAATCAATGGAAAAAATATCCTCGGGTGAGAATTAAAAAAAAAAAAGACCTGGAAAAACCTCAAGATTACACAAAAAGAGAAGTCAGAATTCAAAATCTTCAAGTTCACTGTTTAGAATAATGAGTTCTTAGCCTGTTTTGGTTCAGGTGCCATCATGAAGCACTTTGAGGTCTACTGTACAAAAATGATACGAATCTGGCATCAAGGTTCTTCCCTTCCTCCTCCTCTTTCTGAAAATCAATGGTCTCCATGTCAGAGATTTCCATCTGTTTGGGATAAGTAAAATATAAAGCCTGAACATGTTCACAAGAGGACATAAATTATTTTCATCTACCTAGGATGGGTTACTTTTGCTAAGTTCAAAGAAAGAAAGCACCAAACAAATAAATCGGTGTAAGCTAAAAGATTTTTTAAATGCTACCAAGATGTTAACCAAAACAGAAGACTGGCTCTGTAACAGGTACCATGAATATGCCCATCTATACTCAGGTATTAAGAAAAGTTTCTAGCTCGGCCGGCGTGGCTCAGTGGTTGAACGTTGACCTATGAACAGGGAGGTCATGGTTCGATTCCCGGTCAGGGTATATGCCTGGGTTGTGGGCTCAATCCCCAGTGTGGGGTGTGCAGGAGGCAGCCGATTAATGATTATCATCATTGATGTTTCTTTTTCTCTTTCACTCTCCCTTCCTCTCTGAAATCAGTAAAAATATGTTTGGAAAAGAAAAGTTTCTAGTAGTCCCATTATGAAGGAGATAGGTTCCACAGTCTGATCCTTCTTAAAATAGATGTGCAACAGAGAAAAGGATGCAGATAAACTTAACTTCTCAGAACTTCCCTGGAATAGGGAAGTTGTTCTTCAAGCAAAAAGGAAGTTCTCTGGTTTAAAAACTTCTGACAGCTTTGGGTTATGATTGAGAACTCATCCCGTCCTTGCATATCTTACCCAAGATGCCAAATCCAGTCACAATGCTATCTTTTAAAACAGAAGGGAAAGTGACTTAGAACCACCTGTGACCTACATTTTGTGACAGTAAGTTTAACAAAGAAAATGAATGATCCTGGTGGACATCTTTTTTTTAATGTATTATCAAAGCCTCACTTTGGGACAGTCTTCTAGCTTTACCCATTTGTGTTTGTTAACACCTACCCCCAACACCCATCCCCATCAATTGGTCTCATTTAGTAAAAAATAATCAAAATCAGGATCAATAAGCAGGAACAATTAATCGGTGATCAGGTCATAAGCATTCGTTTTGAAAAAGATGAACACCAGATAAAAGAAACAAGACCTGTTCTCTGTTCTCACCGTTTCATTTGCTTCTTGTTGCTTTTCATCAAAATCTCTGATCAATTTCTTCTTCTCTTCTGGAAAAGATAAGACCAGTTTCAAATGCTCAGTCCTGCTTCCATACATTTGTAGATCCCATTCCCTCTGAGTAGAATAAACTCCCCATTCCTTCCTTGCTGGGGGTAATAGTTCTTAATCACTTCTGAAAGGCATTTAGAAAAGTATGGGAACTTGTTATGACAATGACTAGGGGGAAGGGAAAGGGAGAGTATCAGTGCTGGCATTTAGTTAGTGCCTAGGGAACAAGAATATCCATGGTTGGGATAGTCCTGCATAGCAATGACCTGGCCCCAAAGGCTAATAGTGTCCCTATTAAGAAGCATTATAGGTCTAAGTTAACCACTGTTACCCCGCCTCCCCTAATCCTAACAGAGAGACCAGACTCACTATCATCAATGAGAATGCTTAACAATACTGGTTCTGAAATCCGGGTTCCCACCTTCACGCACACCCTAAAGCACTTCTCTATTTAACCGTCATCCACTCCTTTTCTGCAAAACAAATTAAAAGCCCACCTATTCTGCTCACTGGGGAAGCTGCACGCTGTAGCACTTGTTTCTCTGCCATACCCACTGGTGGTGGCATGGAACTGACTCAGTGAGAAAGTCACCCCTTCTGATTCTCTTTCAATCCTTCGTATCATGTCTTTTTGGTGCTAGTATGTCTTTAATTAGAGGCTTCAACTTCAAAGCAATTGACATCAAGCTAAAACAGCATTGTTTTGCCTTCCTTGTATTTTTCTGACCATTTAGATAGGTTCTACAGATTTCCCATTTAAAATAGTGATATAAAATTTCATTTTAAATAACTTCATGTATTAAAAAATGTATTTTACATGAAATAAGTTGATATAAAGAAAGCAATTAAGTAATAGTAAAAATGGTACTTGGACATGGCAGAAAGGATGAAGGGAGTCCTGGCATGCTGTCACCTGGTAAACACAACAGGAGAACCGCAATAAAACGAGGTATGCCTGTGTTGCCCTTAACAGGGTCTCTTCATCCTATCCTAGCCTATCTAATAAAAGGCTAATATGCAAATAGACCTAATGGCAGAAAGACTGAGCTATGAGGCTATGACACGCACTGACCACCAGGGGGCAAATGCTCAACACAGGAGCTGCCCTCTGGTGGTCAGTGGGCTCCCACAGGGGGAGCAGCTCAGCCAGAAGCCCGGCTCACAGCTGGCGAGAGCAGGGGCAGTGGCAGGAGCCTGCCTTCACAGCAAAGCTATGGGTGTCCCACTGCCCACAGGGAGCCCCAGACTGCGAGAGGGCGCAGGCCCAGCTGAGGGACCTCCCCCCCCCCACAGTGCACAAATCTTGTGCACCAGGCCTCTAGTATTTACATATTATCATCAGCCCACTAAAACGGGGATTGTAAATCTTTTCACTGCAATTTGCATTATTAACAGCATCTGGAGCAGAACTGGGCACCCAATAACCTCTCCCAATAAATACAAGTTAAACAAATGTATGAATTTCACTCTCACCATTCAATTCATATGACTTTGGATAACTCACATAGCTAACACAAACTCTGAGCCCTGAACTTATCCACCAGACAAAGAACTGTGCTTCCTAAGGATTTAGAACAACTCTAGCGCCTCCAGGCAAAGCTTTGAGCAACCTGAATTTTGAAATAATGGGGCAGGACACAGTCTAGCAGAAAGTTCCCAAGAGGACCACACACCTACATGCCACAATCCTGATTTTAAAGACCAACCCCCCAAACTATGATTCCTTTGGGTGTTCTTAACCCTTTTGGTGCTATGGATCCTTTGCCAGTCTGCTGAAAACTGTGGACCTCTTTTGAGAATACCCACTTAAATATATAAAACAAAATACAGCGGGCAATCAATTCTACCGAAATACAGAAACTTTGAAGTCTCCTATACTTTTCTTGCCGCAGTGAAAGTGAGATGAGAAAAATTTGGAGGATGAAGAATCCCAAGGAAAGGACACGCCGAGGTCCACCACTGAGCACCCTACTTGGACGGGGAGGTCCTGGGCGCCAGTCCTGGGCGCGGCCCCGCCAGCTCTAGAGGGGGCGTTGGGAGACCAGGAGGGCAGCCAGGGCTCGGGTCTGGGAAGAGGGTGGGGGCTTCTCCTCCCAGAGCAGCGGGCCGAGTTCCCAGGGCCCCGCCTCACCTGTCCCCCTCTCCCCCCG